TACTCCCGTAAAGATTTACACCCTCGGAAACCCTGTACAGGGTCGCTATGGGTCGGAACCGACTCGACGGCACTTAACAACAACAACAACATCTTCTTTAGGTCTTTTTCAAGTCAGGATTTTCACTCACTAGTTAAACTCACCCTGGTGGTGCTGTGGGCTAGGTACTGGGCTGCTAACCACAAGGCTGGTGGTTCAAATCTATCAGCTGCTCCAAGGGGTAAGGCTATCTGCTCATTCAAGATTTACAGTCCTGGAAACTCTGTGTAGTGTTTGCTATGAATTAGAATCGACCTGATAGTAGTGCATCTGGTTTTAAGTTTTTAATACATTTAAAAAGGAGTCCTGGTAATGCAACAGCAAAAGATCAAAGGAGGTTTGACCACGAACCGTTCTGAGACAAGAACTGACAATATGCTCCTACAACAATTATAGCCTAGGAAACCCTATGGGGCAGTTCTACTATGTCATACAGAGCTGCTCTGAGTCAGAATCGACTGGAATATACACAACTAGTCATTAAAAAAAAACACTTGCAGAGCACTTTCAAAAAGTTTCAACAGCTCTATTTACAAGGCCTGAACTGCATTGCTGAAATTCAAATTGCAAACCATAACTTAAACAAACAATTACATTTTGTCCTCGGAAGCCCTATGTTGGGTTACTATGAGTTGGAACCGACTCGATGACATTTAAAACTACCCTAAGGAGCTCTGGTAGCATAGTGGCTACAAGTTGGGCTGCTAATGTCAAGGTCAGCAGTTCGAAACTACCAGCGGTTCCATGGGAGAAAGATGAGGCTTATCTGCTCCGGTAAAGATTTACAGCCTCGGAAACCCTATACAGGGTTGCTATGAATTGGAACCGACTCCACAGCATACCGCCACCACTAGGCTATATTAAACTACACCAGGGTCTTAATCTTTTTTCCCCTATGAATATACACCCCACTGAAAAATGTTTTTCCTACAAAATTTTAAATATCACAGATATTTTGTATATGTTTATATACTAATATATATGTTTTATATATAAAAAGAGTTAAGATATTCTTGTGCCCTTGAAAGCAGTATCAACCCTATTGACAAAGTATGAGTTATACTAAGCAAACAATATAATTATTAACTCATCAGTGGGAATGAGGGAGGTTGGCAATTTAGCCATACCTGTGTATGGAGAAATAGTGGGACAGCAGATTTAAATAATTTTGGTATACTAAGTCAATATTGGAGTCCTGGTGTGGTGCTGTGGATTAATGCGCCAGACTGCAGAATCATTTGAACTGCAAGGTGGGCGGTTCAAGCTCTCGGAAACCCTGTATAGGTTATTGACTTCTTTTCCCCTTCAAAACCATCTGGCCCCTTAGACATGAGTCAAATGCAATGGTCCTTAGATTAAAATTGCTTTGTATATACAGAAAGAAACTAAAAAATTATGGAAGCAGACTGCCAGGTGGTTCTCCTGCAGAGTTACTGGTAGGTTCAAGCCACTGACATTTTTGTTAGCAGGCGACTACTTTAAACCACTGTGCCACTAGGGCTCCATTTAAGACAAATGATACTGTTGTCAAGCAAATTATAAGATTTAAAAAGTAATATACAACCAGAAAACTCTTGAGTCTCAAAGTAAACTCTGGAACATGAATTTTTTTACTATTAAAAGATTAATACATTTTTCGGGGAGTCCCTTAATAACTATAAATCATTTTAAAGACAAATCAGAGAAAACAGTGCCTTAAAATAGTCTAATTTTAAGCTGGAAACTTTGTATGAATACTTTAACAACTGAAAAATAAAGTACCTTTCTCTTTCCTTGGCATTTTTGACACAGGCTCATTTCTTGGTTCACCAAAGTCTGGCAACAAGAGGGCCTTACTAGATCTAGTCCTTACACTACGAGAAGACTTAGTCAAAGCAGCTGTGGCAAGCAAGCCTTTTCCTTGGTTATTGGGTTCTTTATCTAAGCGCTCTTCTGCTATTGGGCATAATGGATGTTTTTGGCTTTGATTTTCAGTCCTTTCTGTAAGCTTCTTTTTAGAGCTCATCACAGTAGCAAGTTCATTTGGCAATAAAATGGATTCTTCTAAAACTAACTTTCCAATATCACTTTTAGCTGGAGTGCTTCTTGTATTTTCACTTTTAGCTGGAGTGCTTCTTGTAGACCTCCTTTGGATGCCAACAGTTATTCTCTTTTTGGGACTTCTCTCTGTCTCCATAGCTTGCGATCCTAAATCTTTAGATGGTTTATAACGTTTCCTAGGTGTGGCAGGTATATCAAATTCTCCTTGAAGAGTCAACTGTGATGAATCAAGTTTAGAGTGGTCCATCACATTTGAAGCACTAACATCTCTTTCTTTAATTCTTCTATTATGCTGAATGAGCAGTTGATGGTCATTGCACTGCTCTTGTTTATATTCTGTATCTTCAGTAGCCTTCAAATTACTGCTTCTCAATTTTCTGAGACTTCTGCTAGGACTAGCCACTTCACTAATCTTGGGGTAAGTTATAATTTCAACACTTTCCTGGTTTTCAACAGATTTTTTAATTCTTTTAGGAGTCCTTTTTGTAACAGATGTTAGCTTAGCTTCTTTGTTAAAACAAGCTTCTTTACTTGCTTGTTCCAACAGCTGAGATGACTTTGACCTTAATTCCCTACCTGGAGTGACCTGTAATTCTTGTTTCATAGGATTAATACTTTCTAATGAATCTTGATCAATGTTTCTTTTTCTCCTTCCTCTCCTAGGAGTAACAGGACTTTGAGGTATTTGCTGCTTCTGAGATATCCCTTTGATATAAGAGTAGACATTTTCAGAAGCATCAGAAATTTCTTTTGTTTTCCTAGGTTTCTTCATAGCTGAAAGCCCCAGTATCTCAGGAGAGGCAATATTTGCCGACTCTTTCTGTTTTGATTTTATATTCAGGCTTTGGACACACTGTCCTCTCGTGCGAGTTCTGGAGGAAACCATGTCATCTACCTGGTTGACATTTATAGTCATTGTCTTGGTGTCCTCAACAGTCTTCAATTTAGACTTGACTAACTCTGTGGAACACATTATCTTTTGGCTTAATAAAGGTATGTCTTCATGAATGGATTGTTCCATTGTGTCTGAAGTAATTTCTTTACTGTTTGTGTCTTTAATTACATCTAGTACGTTTTCTGCAATAGCTACTTTAATTGGTTCAGGCACATATGGTAATGCTGCTACCTTTTGGGATTCTTGATCACTAGTTATGACAGATGGTACATTTGCAACATGCCCACAATGATCATTTTCCTCAGTTGCTGAGTTAGTTGCGTTAACTGAGTTATTAGATACTGCAGAATCACCAGTCTCAACTTCTCCTTCTTCACCTTCCAATACTAAGGTAAAGTTGTTTTGAACCACAAAAAGTTCCCCATCTACTTCAGCAACATCACACTCAGCTGAGTCTTTATCCAGAAAGTCACAAAACTGCTGTTCAATGTTATCTAAATTATACTGAAGTTTATGAGTTCCTGAGGGGTATAACTCATTATATGGAAGATTCCTAGCCTCTTCTCCTGAATCTTGAGCTTCAACTTTTTCATATTCAATCACCTAAAAGGAATTAAAGGTAAAAGACTGGTTAAAGATATTTTAATGAAGATGTTTATTTTAACCTAAAGCATAAAGGTTTTACATGACCATCTCACCTTTGGTGTATTCATTTTTAAACATAAATTACATTTGATACGGCTCGTGGGCTTACATTATAAAATATCCACTTAAACAATCAGACTTATCTTAATCAAAATAATAAAAGATTCTGAGATTATGACTGGAATTAAAGTAGAAATTTCACATTTCTCTGGCCCCCAAAAATATAAATAAATAAAAACCTTGAAAATTATCATAATGCTAACAGTTGTGAGAATTAAGGACTTATTCTATTCTCACTTGAGAAAAATTAACTGGAGAAAAACGAAACAATCCCCAAACTCTGTGTTAATGCTAATCCCCAAATTACCTAACTATGCACACTTTTCTAAAAAGCATGATCCCCATAAGGTTGAAGAAGAAGTCACCTACATAAGCTCCCTTGGGCTAGACTCAATCCTCTTCCCTTTGCTGGGGTTGCATAAACCATGAAATTCCTAAGGCTTTCAAGTTCAGTACCTCTCCTGCAAGGGTTTGGTGGAAGAAGGAATGCTCCTTGCATTTACCTTTTGGTAAGGGAAGGGGAGAAAAAGGAGGAGGCAGAAAGTAACAGATAGATCTCCTGACCAAGAAGGTAGAACATTACCACCCACCTAACACAATGACATTTTCCCATTCCCCAAACATTAAGTGAGATGACAGATGGGAAATACCTAGAAATGAGGATTCCCCACTCATATTAAGTACCCACAATTTTTATTATCTTCCAAGATGAAGAATTAGGGATTTTACTCTTCTATTTCAGAGTGAAAACATGAAGATCCACATGGATAACTAAGAAACTCCCCAAATTCTACATAATCAGATTTGTGTAGAGAATTGGCTACTCTTCATCTTAAATTCATTGATTACATAAAAGTTGTGTCTTAAAAACAAAAGATTTTGTGAAATTTTTATAAACTGTAAGTTACATTAGGTACTCCCCTCCAAAAAAAAAAAAATCTCTCTTTTTAAGAGTTTAACCCTAGCCTGTTGAATATCATTCTCCCACAAGCAGACATGGAGGAAAAAATTCTGTTTGACTGTATGATTATTTTCAAATATATGCTACGAATAGTCCAACTGTCCTAGTTGTCTCTGGAGAAGCCATTACTTATTTTCTTATGGCTAACAAACCTTTCATTTGAATCAGAAACTAAACAAAAATTAAATTGGTAAAACTGTCCTTTCTTTATCCAGTTTTTTTGGTTTTAATGAAAACCAAAATTTTAATCTAAAGATGTGTTCTTATATGGTCCATAAAATATAAAACACATATTTTTTAAACACAAGCTTGTACAAAGAGAGTTATTATTTTTTTTTTCTTTAAAAAGCAGTAGATTCTATTAATGCACTAAGTTTGAACTGTGGTGTCTTAAGACCTAACTACATCAAAGCTGAATGATTAACAAAGAAAAATAAATAAATAATTTACATGAATTTCTTGAGTGTCAGGAGGACCATCACTGACTGGAGGCTTTTCTTCTGGTAAGTCAGCTTTTATTTCATGATCTTCCTTTAGATTTAATGCTATTTTCTGATCAAATCTATTCTCAGAGACAATAGGACTTTCAGAGACACCACGCGCAGGACTTCCACTCTCAGGAGGGGCATCCACCATAGCTGAAAGAAAAATGAGACTTAATCTTCCACAATTTACACTGAAATATATGATCTGTACACACTTAGGAAAGCAAACAGAAAGGAAAAGGCTACATTCTATTTGAGAATATTTTGATAACATGCCATGTGCCAAAATGCTTACAGAAATGAAACAAGGCAAAATTTCACATTTAAATGAGACATTGTTTTTTCTCAAATGAAATGTAATCCCTGCTCTTATCAGAAACTTTAATATGATGGCAACTGCTGTGAAGAGCACAGTATGTCTGTTCCTTATTAATCTAAAAAAAATCTATCCAACAGAAATACTGATAATAGAATGTGCAAAGATACACAAACAGTAATGTTCACTGAAGAATTAAAACAGCATGTAAGCAACTTATCCACCAATAAACTATTAGTTAAATATATCATAGTATCATTCTTAAAATAGAGTCCTGGTGTGGCGCTGTAGGATAAGCAACAGACTGCTAACCACATGGTCGATGATTCAAACCCACCAGTCACTCATTGGAAACCATATACAGCAGGGGCGGAGAACCTTTTTCTCCCCAAGGGTCATTTGAATATTTATAACATCATTCACAAGCCATACAAAGTATCAAATTAAAAATTAGCCTTTTATATTTAGTCAAACATTTAATGAACTCACACCAATATGATTGCCAGTGTGTTGCTGTGGGATAATGCTCTGGACTGCAATATTGGTTTGAACTGCAAGGATGACAGTTCAAACTCACCAGCCACTTCTTGGAAATCCTATACAGGGTGGCTGAGTCGGGATTGACTCGACAGCACTTAACAACAATGTGATGGCTGGAACTGCAGTTGCCTTGGCAGGTTCAGACCACATGGTTTCATGGGCTTTACGGGCCACGAGTTGGATGTTCTCTACCCCGCTATACGGGGACACTCACCAAAACCAACTCAATGGGCCTTAACAACTTAACAGCAACACTGCAGTCATTACAAATAACAGACTCAAATCTATTATTACTGAAACGTATTAAACAACAGTGCATCAAGTACACTATTATGTAAGTTTTTTTTTTACAAAAAAACTTTAAATGTTATTAAGTGCCATCCAGTCTGTCTGACACATAGAGACCCTGCATAGGGTTTCTGAGGAGTGGCTGGTGAACCGCTGACCTTGCGATTCAAATTGACTTTGAAATCGAGTTCTTATCCTATGATGGGATGGAAACTGATACTAAGCTACTCCTAGGAGACTCTACATAGGGTTGCTATGGGTTGAAACTGACTTGACTGCCCTTAGTAACGTTTAGTGAGCTTTTTATTAAGCACCTAGTACTGTACTTGCAACTTGCTCAATCTTAACAGCTAGGAAAAGGGTACTATTAACATTCCCATTTTACAAATAAATAGGGTTGTGTTTAAGACACTACCCAAAGTCTTCTATTTAGTACAGAATTGGGTTATGGCCCAAGTAGTTTAGCTCAATCCCCTGTGTTCTTTAGCTATCTATCACATGTATCTCTTTTTTTGACAATGTGAGGGAAAACATAGGGGCCAAAAGATACTTTAAACCTACCTGTTGCTCCTCAGAAACCCTATACAAAGTTGATATGAATAGAAACTGACACAATGGCACTTAACAACAACAACAAAACAGCCATGGAATTTTTACTTTGCAAGTTAATTCATATTTTATAATAAACATATATTACATTCTTAGGGTGTTTTTTTTTTTTGGCTGTTGTTGCTTATTTAAAAAAGGGCTTGCTCAACTCTATCCTAAACCCTATACATACATGACAGGCAGAAAGATACTAAAGGGGCTTCCATAAATTTGTGGAAAATGGAATTAATAGACAATGGAATTTTTCCATGAACTTTTGTATAACAGAAGCAGATAGGGTCAGAGAGCAACTGCCTCATAATACAGTTGTCTGTTCACAGATATGAGATCCTCAGACAACGCATTCCAGGTGTGTGAGTATAACTGAGTGCACTGGAGAAAACGTGGCCCAACAGTTAGTGCTCACACCATTCAAAGGTTGGCGTTTTGAACCCAAATGACCTGGCAATCAGCTATTAATCAAAATCGGCTTGACAGCACCCAATAATAAGAACTAAAAAAAAGTGTTCTTGGAATAAAAAATTAAATGAACTGTATTATTTGTTAATTCTAGTCACTTCTGTGTCTTCTTAATACTGGAAAGCCATTCTTGGGAAGTTGCCCATGTAGACATCACCAAAAGATGAAATAGCAACATGTAGCCCAGCTACAGGGTATGAATTTACTCGTCTTCTCCTGGAGGTTTCAAAGTAAAATATGTCCATGAAAGACATATTTTACTAATATTAGTGACTTTCATTAATAAGAGTCACAGGGTGCTTTCCAAGCAATGTACTGTTTTTTAATAACTGATATACCTCCTTAGAATGCTATTATTATGACAGAGAAGCTGACCAGATTGAGAGAGAAAAACTGAGAAAAGAAATCTGGATAGCAAACTCTTTAGTTTCTTGAAATTCCTTACACAAAACACAAATATGAATCCCGAATAAAAAAATAGTAATAATAATACTTACATTTATTGCTACCTGTTCTAATTATAGAGGTGCAGTTTTCAATAGATGCTAGTCCTTCATCTAAAACTGGTACCTTGGATTCTAACATGGGGATTTTCCTTTAAAAGTAAAAATACATATTTTAGTGCAATTAAAATGTACCATTTTGCTCTAACCTTCTCTATTCCCCCACTACTTATTATTTTGCTGATGAAAACTGAGGTACAGAGAAATTAATACCACTTAGTGTCCTGGTGTGGTGCTGTAGGATAAGCATTGGACTGCCAATCATAAGGCTGGCGGTTCAAATCTACCAGTTGCTCCTTGGAAACCCTATACAGGGTCACTATGTGTTGGAACCGACAAGATGGCACTTACCAACAAGAAGTTCATTTTACATATGATCATAAAATTTACAAGTGAATTTAGAAACAAGTAATACTGCACTTGTTTTTCCTATCTTCTGATACTTCACTTTTTTGGCAACAAAGGTACAAATGTAAACTACAAATAAAATGATTTAAAAATGTTGGTCAGTCTACATAAATTGTGCTCAGCCCAATTTGTTCATTGCCATCAAGTCAGTCCCAATTCATAGCGACCCTGTGTAAAGTTTTCCAAAGAGCGGCTGGTAAATTTGAACTGCAGGCCTTGCAGTTAAAGCCAACCTTGCAGTCTAGCACATTAACCTACAGTGCCATGCTAGGACTCCAAATAATGACTTCTTGTTAAGTACTGTCAAGTCGGTTCCAACCCATAGCGACCCTGTATAGAGTTTCTGAGGGGCAGCTGATGAACTTGAACCACCGACCTTGTAGTTCAATTGACTTTGCAGTACAGCACATTAGTCCACAGCGCCATACCAGGACTCCTAAATAATGACTTTGTTGTTGTTATGTGCCGTGGATTTGCTTCCGACTCACAGCGATCCTGTAACAGGGTTTCCGAGGCTGTAAATCTTTACGGGAGCAGAAAGCTTCATCTTTCTCCCGCGGAACAGCTGTTAGTTTTGAACTGCTGACCCTAAGGTTCGCAGCCTGATTTGTAACCACTACGCTACCAGAGCTCCTTAGGAGACCTTTATTTATCTATGTGATGAAAATACGTTCAGGGAGTAAGTTGGACAGTGATCACTTACTGTTTTATTTTTATCTTGCTCTTAAGCCCAACTAAAGTAGTAAGCTAATTTGAAAAAATAAAAGGACACTTAAAAAAAGTAAATTCAAGGGAAAAAACCCCATGCATTTTGAATATATATTTACCTATTTATTTATAGTTATGTTTTTAAGAATTATCTCAACCACAGTATTTATAATAAGGATAACTGAGACCAACAATCTCCACAGAACTTCAAACATATTTATATATAATAAAAAAGGAATCATGCCAACATGGCAAATATTCATCTAGATTATCACTGACTGCTCTTTGCTTCATGATTATTAAAATGATCCATTAAATTTACTGTAAAATAAAATTTTCATCAAAATTCACAAAATGAATGATTGTAACACCAAAATAATTTAGATAATCCTTTCATATTAGTTTTTCCCACTTTTCCTATGCAGCTTTTAATTTATCTTCTCAAAGCTGAAGCACATGATCAAGTTCAACGTTTAAGACTTGGCTGTTATGATAGTGATTTTTGTGGGTTGTATGTGAAGTTATTCTCATTATTACTGATGAAGTAATGAAACATCTACAACGCCTGAAATTATCTTAAAAATTGATGAACTGGGAGCAAAAATCGATCAATTAACCATTAAAACCCACAAAATTTAGCTAACCTTTTATTTTGTTGAAAAATAAAAAACAAACACACTGAAATATACACCAATAGTTTAATAGTTTCTAAGTGTATAGTTTAGTGACACTGATTACATTATTCAATTTGTATAACCATTCTCACCCTCCTTTTCAGAGTTGTTCCCCCCCATTAACAAACTCACTGCCCCAATCAATAGGTTTCTATCTAATCTTTCAAATTACTTTTGTCAATTTGATCTTGTACAGTTCTTAGAACAGCAAAATGCTCAGGCAGACATTCTTTGCTAGTTACTGTTGCTTCACCAAGTAATGCTGAACTTTTAAATGCTAGCATATGACAATTGCTATTGTTGTTAAGTGCCGTAGAGTAGGTTCTGACTTAAAGGGACCCTGCATAGGGTATCTGAGGAGCAGCTGGTGGATTTGAATTGCTGACTTGTGGTTCAAACCAACCTTGTAGTCCTGTGCATTATCCTGCAGCGCCACACCAAAAGGTTCACATCTATTAATGTTGCCACCTATTTCATTTGAAGAGAGGTGGCCAAGTTCATGGTGGCAGAAAAGTGTTCTTCATAATTCTAACTTCAGCATAAAGCTTGCATTTTGTCATTGTAATGAACACTGACAGTTGTATTTTTTAAGTGACAGGCAATTTATTCATTTGAGACAATGTCTGCAAAATGCTCAAGTTTAAACAGCCAGTGCTTAACTATCAGATAAAGTACTATACAGACTATCTCTTAGTCATCTCCTCCATATTCCATCTTGGTGTTACAGGAGACCTGTATCTGATCATCATAAAACCACTGAAAAGGAGAGGACAGGCCGGAATGCAGGGCTATACAGAGAAACACCGAATCTTCAACAGAATTAGATCAGTCAAGAATCTGAGTTTTATCTCAATTCATCATATCTTTCTCTGTATATTCAGGAAAATCTAAGATTTTATGGTATGGTGCTGTGGGATAAGCACTGGACTGCTAATCTCAAGACTGATAGTTGAAACCCTTCGGCCCTTCTTGGAAACTGTTTTCCGGGTTTGTTTTAGTTCGGACCCACTTCAAAAAACACTCAAAACGAAACAAAACAATCCTACAAATTAACGTCTTTCCTAAGAGAGAATGTTACCAAAATGAAAATGTAAAAGATCTAAATAAGATTTCATATATCCAGACTATGTTTATTTAATATTAGGCTCATAGTTTCATTAAACATTCAAAACACATATACTTGTTTGTTTTGTTTTTTTCACAGACTTACCCTTTGTGGATTGATGATGCACAAGAAGCTTCAGCTCCTTGAATGGGGTTTAAGTGATTGTGAAATTCTGAAAATGCTTCCTCTAGAACTAGGAGATCTTTTGTTCCTGCATCTTCTACAGTGCCTATGAATCATACATATAAAAAACACATTTAAAACTGCCAATTCATAGTATGGTGTTGTGTGTTAATGCACCAGACAGCAAAGTCGGTGGTTCAAGCTCACCAGCTGCTCCTTGGAAATACTATACAGGGTTGCTATGGGTCGGAACCGACTCAATGGCACTTAACAACATTCCTTTCAAGAATAATCAATAAAACTATTGCCATGGACTTTTTCATCATTATTTACCATGCAAGTGATTTTACTGGAACATGCCACATGAAAAAGTTCATGTAAATTTCTAGACGTTGTTATTAATGTGTGTAGTCCTAAAATTCGTAGAGCAATTAACACCTATTCTAAAAAAACACAGATATAAGCTCATGAACTCACATTTTAAGAAATCTTAGTTTGGCCTAGACAAAAAACATTTCCCAAAAGAACCACTTGTAACAGATTTATATAAGCATTAGGTTTTACAGATTTAAAAACTGTGTCCGTGGCAATAGTTTTAAGCAACACCAATTCTAAGCCAAGTTTTCCCCTTTCCTACTGTTCCCCTGATGTGAGCACTGTGGGATAAAGCACTGGACTGCACGATTGGTAATAACCACAAGTTCAGCAGTTCAAAGTCACCAGCTGCTCCTTGGAAACCATACTATACAGACAGGGTCACTATGAGTCAGAACTAACTCGACAGCACTTAGCAAAAACAACTGTTTCTTTAATCTCTTCAATGTACCCCAGTAAAGCATTTATCTTACTGCATTATAATTGCTTGTTTGTCTACATAGTTCACTAAGCTTCAAATCCCATGTGAATAGGTATTATACACATTATTTTATTCTCAATACCAAGCATACATGCTGTAGGAACTTATCTGGTTTACATATACTGAGGGCTCAAAAATTTGTTAATAGATAAATGAATATATAGAAACTAAATTCATGGTCTCTGGGCATTTGATTGCCCAGTGATTATTTTGGAAGTGGGCATGGAGAATAGTTAACTATTGAATTTCTGAGCAGCATTATAGCAAGTTGAAACTATTGGATAAAATAAAAACCTAACAGCAATCTAGTCTGAAAAATCAGTATCAATGTTTCTTACAGGTCTGAGAAAGAAAACAGTAATCAGAAATCAAACTACAGTATCTTAAAACTTTTCATCTTCAACATTATTGCTCTTTTCCAAGTTTCATCCCCTTCCCCAAATCTCTTTTTCAGTATACTTGTAACAAGTGAACTAGCATCCATCTGGCAAACTTGTAAGTTGAAAGAATAACATACAATTATTTTTTGACCAGAATGCTTTCCTTATGGTGAAAACCCCCCCCCCCAAAATCTATTATATATTTAAAAGAGGGACAACAGCACTTTTAAATGCTTTGAAAATGAGCACTTACCAGTTTGTTTCTTTAGGTCTGGAGGAGTCACTTCGGACTCAAACACATCTTGATCACCTTCCTTCTCAACTTGTTCAGTTAAATCAGTAATTAGTTCAGTGGAAGAGCTTGCTGGTTTAGCAGCTATGAAAACAATATCTTCAAACTCTTCTGGTGATGGTGCATCCTGATACTCCAAGGTAGTTGGGTCTGATCTAGTTGAAGCAATGCTGTTTTCTTTGCTCATGTCCAGTTTCTCCAAACTTTGAGACGTATCCAGTAATCTAATGTCCATTTCTTGATGATCATTCTCAGGACTATTCAGAGAAAAAGATGAAGCTTTATCTTTACTCTTCAGCCATTCAGTTTCTGCCGGAACTCCACATTTATGGAAAGGTGTAGCAATAAATACTTTTGTTTTGCTATCATCTGCAGCCTGTTAAGTAAAAGATTTTGGAAGAAAAGAAATTTATAAAAATATTACTAGTAAAAAAATCAGTTAAATTTTGTCCTAAGCTATTCATCTCAATTGTACCCACTCTTTCTATACTTCTATTTCTCTTCTGCATTAAAGCTCACTTGTTCTCAATGAAATCCACACACTTCAGCTGTATGATTTAAAGAGAATGGCAGTGTTTCCCTAAAGTGCAACAGATTGATATTTTTAAAAGACTAAAACTCAGAATAATCAAGATCAACAACAATCAATAACTGGACTCCCATAAACCTACAGTTGAGCTCTGAAAACACACCATAAATAGTTAACCAAATGACTTTAAATAGCTGTTTGACTATAGGCACCTCACTTGGTGCTTCTTGAGCTCCATTTTCTTTACCTGTAAATTGATAGGTTTGGCTTTGACAAAGTCCTTACATTTTTGTCAGATTTAATGTTTCCTAATTTCATAACTCTTCAAGACTATGTAACAGAAATCTAGAATGACATTATGTACACTGATTTACCTAACATTTTACTAGGTAATCAAAACCAAATGCATAGTCATCAACTGGATTCTGATTCATGGCAACCTGGTAGGGTTCCCAAGGAGCAGCTGGTGGATTTGAACTGACAACCTTGCAGTTAGCTGTCCAGTGCTTGTCCTACAGTGCCACATCAGGACTCTTTTTACTTGGTAGGAGTTAATACATTATTTAATATTTTCATAATTATGAAACTTACTCCAGCAGTCCATTTTGTAGTCACACCTTCTTCCACGAAAGAAATTCTAGTTTCTTTAAGTCGTAAAGGAGGAGTAAGAGACCTTCCAGGTGACAAAGAAGGAGATATTAAAGGGGTTGTTCGAAGACCAGACCTTAGAATGGATTGAGGAGTGAATTCTACAAATCCAGTAGAAGTAACTGACATGGCCAAAGCTTTAGCTTTCTATGACAAAGAATAAATGAAATTAATTATTAGTATTTGCAAATCACTTATATATGGGCAGATTAGGTCAATCAATAGATACAATAGTGGCTATATTCTTATCTTCAATAAATATATTTAATCCTATATAATATAATGAATGAAAATTTTATGCAAGATTGCTAAAGATACAAAATCCTCTCCAGAGGATTCTATATGTAAGGCTGCTTTTGTGCCATCAAGTCAATTCAGACCCACAACAGACCTATATGACAGAGTAGAACTGTTCCATAGTGTTTCCTAGGCTGTGATCTTTATGGGAGCAGATGAGCAGGTCATGTATTGCATGGAGCCACTAGCCACTAGTGGCCTCAAACTATAGACCTGGTCAGCAGTTGAGTGCTTAACAAATATACCACCAGGGCTCCGTTATGTAAAGGCTACAAAACATTTTGGTTGTTTCTACTATAAATTAAACTTCAAAATTCAAGTTCCAATTAGTAAGACATGTAATTAAGTGTTGGGAGTCTAATATTCTTATCGACTTCTCTTAACTGTCTTTGCTGTTGTTAAGTGGTGTCAAGTCGGTTCCTAATCATAGTGACCCTGAAAAAGGCTTTAAATCTTTCTAGAAGCAGAAAGCCTCATCTTTCTCCCATGGCTGGCAGGTTTGAATCAGAGACCTAGTGGTTATAGTATGGAGCCACTGCACTCCCAATAACTGTCTTAGGACAAGTATTTATTGAAGCTATCTTTTACTCAATTTGAAAATTTCCTGGTTTCACTATAAATGCTGGATATCTAGAAAAAGAACCCAGAAAGAATTGGAGGGAAAAAAAGGTAGAGAAAGAGAGATCCTGGGATCTAAGCCAGAATACTGGAGAAGAAACTAAGAGTTAGCATTCATGAGAACACTTGAACTGGATAGGTGTAAGGTATTTCTTTCCAGTTATCACAAACTTAGTAAGGACATTAAAAAAAAAACACTTTATTATGACTTGCTTGAAAGTTTATAGACCAGATCATAAGTTTTACATTAAACAAATCAATAACTTCGTTTTATTACAATGATTTCAATCCCCTCCATGTACCAAAAGTTTATAGATCTACCTCTATTCACTTTAACTCTTGCAGTCTTCCTGTATCTTCCACTGTCGTCATTGTATACTGCCTACCTTACCAACCGTAAAAAATTGTCTTTCCTCCCATCTCTGGTAACCACCTTAGAATGTTTCTTTTAAAAAGAAAATCTTTTCTTAGCTTTTTACAACAATCATCTCATACATTTGTCACTAATTTCACTCAGCATAATATCCTTCAGGTACATCCATGCTATCATGGTTTTAAAGGGTAATTTTAAAGGCAGTAGATACTATGATAGTAGGAAGGTAGTAACAGTTTAGAGTCTCATCAGTGGAGTCAGAAAATTAAAAATAAACCTTTAAGAACTCAAAAGCACTTGATAGAAGAAATAACAGCTTAATGGGATCAGCAATAGAGTTAAAAAGAGAAATGATGAAACCCAGCAAGAAAGTGAGCAACCCCAAAATTTGTGACAGCATTTTGCAAAGAACAAAAGTTAATTTATAATAACTACACGAGGTTTAAAGAGCTCTGGTAGTATAGTGGTTACAAATCAGGCTGCAAACCGCAAGGTCAGAAGTTGGAAACTACCAGCTGTTCTGTGGGAGAAAGATGAGGCTGTCTGCTCCCATAAAGATTTACAGCCTCGGAAACCTTGTACAGGGTCCCTATGAGTTGGAACCCACTCCATGGCACATAACAACAACACAGATGTTTATAATACATTCAGGACCACAAAGTCGTTGCTAACCTTAAGTATAATGGTAGTTTAGCACAAAAGAATAAATTTTGTCAGCTCTGTTTAGAAGATGTAAAAATACATTTGGTATTTTAGATAGAAATAAAAAAAGAAAGAAAGAAAAGAAAAAAAGCCTTATCTTGTAAAGCCATCTATTACCCAAAAATTTCCATTATAAAAGGCTTTTCTTTCTGGAACTTGAAAACAAGAATTTTCTAGCTTCATATGCAAGACATTTAATACTCACCTTAACTACAAGTGGAGTTTCAAGTAAATGTAATTCTGATGCCCTAGAGGTGTTTTGATGTGATCCTCTTAACTGATTTAATGGCATTGGACTGGATGCTAGGTACAAACAAGACCGTGTGGGAGAGGTTTGCTGAGTAAAATCCAAATCCTGAGAAGGCTGGGGGACAGGACGAACCAAATCCAGCAGTCTGTAATCAGAGTGCACATATAAATAGAAAAATCCCAGATACTTATCTGAGTTATGTAAAAAAAAAAATTACAGTATTCCATTTATATTCTATACTCACAAGTAAATAAATTTAGTCATGTATACTAATGTAATCCAAACTGTTACAGTTGTTCAAAAGTTAGAAAAAAAAAAATATTAACCCAATAGCAAAAAAAGTACTCTCCTCCCTTCCTTTTATCAATATTTACTGAGACCCTATTATGTTAGTCAGTTATTTTCAAATACAGATGAAGTGTTGAATAATTTTAAACGTAGCACTAAATACTAGACTGACCAAAATACAAGTTCATTTAAAAAAATGACTTTTGGTGATAAAATGTAACCTCAAAATTCTATTGAGTCATTTCCTATAGTATCTCACAAATATAGTTCCTATCAAATGGTAACAATGATCTGATGACTTGAATTAATAGTCTGAAAAAGCATAAAAACTTAAATAAACTGTGTGAAAAGTTGAGATTACAATTTGTGATGGATCACTTGCAAAAGTCATTCTTCCTTTCCCAATAGTTTATTATTCTATGATTACATTTTCTAGTGATAGAAATAAAACCTTTTAATTTTCCCAAAATGCCAATGTGATTTAGAATAAGCACAAAAATACAGCATGCATGGGGTGTCCTTTGGGCATTTTATCAGCAGTCCTAAAGGAGCTTTGTAACACTTGCTCAAGCATGGCAGAAATCAAGCGTGCACATGGCTGAGAGGCTGAGAGAAGTGTGCCCACAGGCACAGCTGGGAAGAGATGTTCCTGACCCAAAGGATTTTATTCTGACCCTGATTTGTACCCTGTTGATATCCCAATATTAACAGGAACTGTGGTAGCATAGTGGTTACAAATTGGGCTGCGAACCTTTAAGATCAGCAGTTCGAAACTACCAGCTGTTCCGCGGGAGAAAGATAAGGCTTTCTGCTCCTGTAAAGATTTACAGCCTCAGAAACCCTGTAAAGGGTCGCTATGAGTCAGAACCGACTCCATGGCACATAACAACATCCCAATGTAACCCATAATTATGAGTAAAAATAAACATGGCATGCTATTATTAGTTGTTGTTGTTAAGTGTTGTAGAGTCAGTTCTGACTCTTAATGACCCCAGGAGCTGCTGGTGGGTCTGAACTGCTGACCTTATGGTAGCAATCCAGTGCTTACCTTACAGCTGGGGTAAGGTAAGGCCTTACCAGGGCCCCATAAATGAGGAGGTTGCAGCAGTAAATGTGAATGCCTCTTGTTGTTATTAAATGCCATCAAGTCAGTTCTGACTTAATGGTTTGAACCACCAACATCAAGGCTAGCAGTCTAGTGCTTATCCTACAGCATCCCATTACCCCTAGAAATAAATACACCCAGTTTCTGTGCCTTTCCTGTCATGCTATTATCTATGTTCAGAACAGATTTTTATGTACAGATCACATTTTATGTACACAGATCACAGTTGCTTTAAGACCCAACCCAGTGGAGAAACATTTACAAGAAGCAATTACCCCAAGCACAGTTCTGAGATTTCTATGATACAACAAAGAGATCCAGAGACCACTTTTAGAATCATGTTGCTACACATTCTGTTTCAAGTTTTTTCCTTCTCTACTTCATTTGTATCCAAATTTTATATATGTTAATTGTTTGCTCATTTTTATATTGAGCTATCCAAAATGGAAATAAGCAGAAATTTGGTCAAATATGTATGTATATACTATGTCTAAAGTATGTATTTATGAATGACTGTGCCACCAGAGCAATACATGTGCAATAAATGGCATATGCTGAGTACAAGCAAAATTATACTAACAAAAATAAAGTTATTATTTAAATTATATAAAAAAATTATAAAGACAAAATATGTTTTATTAGGGAAATTTATATATTGTATTAGATCTCAGGGTTTCCACAATTGGATTAAAATACTTTTTGACCATGATTCAAATTAGATGTACATTTTGAATCACACACACAAAACAAATTACATAAAAATAGTCCTTGCCTTTATTATATGCAATGTACACTAATATTACCTATACTCTTCTAATTCACTGAAAAATATGTTAGTCACATTCCATTAAACTTACTAGTCATTAATGCAAATGAGTTGTTACTAAGGATAAAAAGACCAATACATCAAGAGACACTTGTTAATTATGTATTTCTATTATAAATGATAATGAACACTTTTCAACTATGAGTACTGGTGTGGCATTGTAGCACTAAGACAGTAGTTTAAACCCTATACAGTGACGCTATGATTTGAAACAGACTAGATGGCACTTACCAACAATATAGCAAGATTCTTAAAGAAAGTAAACACACTCATATTTTCATCTTGGCTATAAAACTTGAACTTAACTGTTTATTGTTCTAATACCACAGTAAGAATATAAATGTACTACTGCATTATATGACAGGCACTGTTGGGGGTGATATGGGAACTCTGTACTTTACACAAAATAATCCTGTAGACATAAAAAAATATTCTAGTAAATACCTGTAGTGAGTGGAGGTTGGGTGGGGAAATAATCTTAAAACAGTATTAGCAAAATTTTAAAGATAACTAAAAAATTATAATTGCAATTATATAACATTATACCTTTAATAATGATTAAATGAATTCATACCTAGAAACTTTTTGTGATCCTTTTGAAATTGGTGTTTCAAGAAATGCTTCAGGCACCTCTGGGGCCGGGAGAGAATATACTATAGGAGACGGTTTTTCTATGTTAGAACTACAAAGAAAATAAGGATTTAACTTTTGGTTATGTATCAGAAGGATTAGATGAAAGAGGAAAGAGCTTTCATCTTTAACTCTGTATTTCTGCATGCTTCATAAAATAACAATAAACATGTATCATTTAACATTTAAACATGATTTTACTGGTAAGAGAAGTAGCCAATACATATGCACATATAAAAGCTTTTGCTTTTTAAATACACCAATAAACTAGGACAATTAGGTTGGTTTGTCTATAAATGTTGATGCCCCCAATAGAGTTACAAGCAGCATGAAGAAAAACATACCTAATGTAAGGAGAAATGCTATTTTTAGGTTCATTGCTTGCCCAAATTTCTCCAATTTTAGATAACACATTATTGATGAAAGAAGATCTTGTCAACACAGTCCCTGTTGCAGCTTGTTTTGAAACGGCTGATAATGGTCTGGGTTTAGAAACTGTAAGATAAATAATAATGTAGTGTTTAATTTTATTCTAACCAATAAGGAATTTATTAGAAGAATCGGTATGAAAGAATGGTTGGAAACAAAGATTATAAAATAGGCATATTAGAATTATATTTGGTTTAGCAAGAATTAAGCAGAAATTGAACAATTTAGGCTTTTAGGAAAAGAAGTTAAAATTATTCTATATGTTTCTCTAAAAATTGGCAATAGTCTTCAACTAAAATATAGTTAGTTTATTCTGTACTACATTAGTAAATTAGAAAGCAAGGTCTGGTGATCTACTTTTAAACATTAGTCAATGGATGGTGATAGGACTCTTGTGGTACAATAGTGAATAATTGCTATCAGGACTTACTGTGAGGGTTGGAAATGTAAAGGTAGACGTTATATAGCAAAAAGGAGGGGAGGGGTTGACTCTGCAGTCCAGAAGCGGAGGTCCCTGGAATCATCAAGGGAGAAGAGCAGAGTGCGGGACCCTACCCAGAGAAACAGTGACACCAGAGATAGAGGCAGAGACGATGACTTGGAGAGATGGAGCGGCTGGGGACTCTAGACCCAGAGAGGGAGAGAGGATGAGTGCTGATGACTGAGGGGCAGGCTTACAGGGTATACCGTTTGGTTGGTTGATGATGCATGGAGGGGACTGTAACCATGGCAGTGAAATGATATACGATAGGATTAATGTAAAGCTAATGTTCTCCCATGTAAACTATCACATAATTCACAAAAAAAACATTTAAACCCACCAGTCACTCCTAAGAAACTCTATTCGGGGTTGCTTTAAGTTGAAACCAATTCAATAGCACTTAACAATAACAAGCCTGCATTTCTTAGGGAAAAGCAGCCAATAAAACAGCACTACTCTGGTGAATCTGAATACACAGCAAAGTGAGCTATATATAAAATTAGGATGATATGACAAACACAATCAGTATTCATGACATTCTTCAATGAAACCTCACCTTCTCGGAAAACTGTTGCTGCTGTCAGAGGGTAAGGCTTAGCTCGTTCAATGGCTAATTTTCGCTGGACTCTAGGAAGGATTTTTCCATATTGGTCTAATATAGAATTGCGAGCCACTGATCTCTCACGTAAACGAGGATCCCGATCATTCTATTGAATATATTGGTAAAAATGTTATCTTAAAACGAAGTTAGGTTCTAGGCTTATATATTTACTATTCAAATTATAATTATGAATATGCAACCTTCCTATGTACCCATTGTATCAAATGAAGGACTTCATAAACAAACCTAATTGCTTTATTAGTCCTTACCTATCAATAAATTCTAAGATTTTCCTAACAAGTCTTGAGTCTTCATAACTAATAAAACCAATGGCAATCATTTATTAAACATATGCAACAGGCAACATGTTACTTCACACATACCTCTCTGTACCCTCACAACAATCTCATCATTTTACAGATGAGGAAACCAAGCTCAGAGAGGTAGAATGAGATGTTTTAATTGCACAGAGCATATTAGAATTGGTCTGATCCCTGAATCCCATGTTCTTTCCATTATATAATCACTATTGTATCTTCGACATCTTCTTGTTTTCCCCGAGTTAAGCCTTTAGTCTGACAAGAATACAGGCAGACAAATGAATATGTGGCATTTACGAGGGGCCTTCAAAAAGTTCATGAAAAATCCCCATTATCTGGTAATTCTGTTTTCTTCACAATCTTTTTGAAGTCTACCCCTTATAAGAAGTGGTGGTAGTTATGTGCCGTGGAGTCGTTTCCGACTCACAGAGACCCTGTATAAGGTTTCCGAGGTTGTAGATCTTTACGGAAACAGAAAGCCTCATCTTTGTCTGGTGGAACCACTGGTAGTTTTGAACTGCTGACCTTTGAGATTAGCAGTCCAATTTGTAACCACTATACTATCAGAGCTTCTTATATAAGAAGTAGAAAAGTAATAATTCTGTTTCCAATTCTGCTATAGAGGTGAGAAAGAGCTAATTCATTTCCAAATTCATGAGGATACAGTATTACCAAATTTCAAGATCTTACATAACAATTTTATAGTCCTTAATTTTCCTTATTCTCGTCTTCCGTATTAAAACAACTTTAATCATACCATAAGATTAATCTTCAGAGTTTGGTTAAGCTTCAAGGCAGGAATGTAATTGGCACGCTGCAAATGGTGAACTAAAAGGAACTCATGATTCTTAACACTGGCACTGGACTGCAAAAATTTCACTAAACACTCCTAGGAAAAACAAAATAGATTTGTAAACTATTGATTTCCCTTGAATTTTTGGTATGCTTCCAATGTTACAGTATCATTACCTGCTCAGTGTCTGTAAAAGGTAACTTCAGTAAATCCTCCATTAAACCCATTTCCTGACATATTTCATATGTGTGCTTTAGTAACTCTTCTACATTGAATCTATTAGAATGATGTCGCAATAAAGTCCAGGCCTCAACCATGCACCTAAAATCAATATGTCAGTTTAGTTATAGTTTTAGAAAATCCATTCAAAATGCACAAAACAAGAAATCCATCCTAAAGAATATAAAATGTGTAATTTAAAAATGTATTAAATGTTAACTACTGAAGAATAAATCTTGCTAAAAACATCAAAGGAAGACAATGCATCTTTAAAATGTAATTATATGCTGGTCTGTACCATTATTTAAGATTTTAAGTGTAAAAGAATGGGAAAGCAAGCACACAAGAGTCCAAATGAGACAGCAAACTAACGGATCTGCTTATCATAGCTGGGAAGTGAAATATTGATGGAATATTACACAGAAATGTCAGATTTTAAAAAAAGCCACTCAGCATAGAAGAGAAGAAAAGAAAAAGAGCAATGGCCTATAGGCAAAAATCAAAATATTGTTATGTGCATAGGGAAGTAAAAGATGGTCTAGTAGTGGTGATTTTGGATGATCTGCAGTTAGAACTGACTGGCAAACTTTGTTAAATTAGTTATGAGGAGGCACTAAGACTTCTGTGAGCAATGAGGAGATAATTTTTTTTTTAAATGCTAATGTTCAACAGGAATCCTGGTATGGCAATGTGGATTACTGTGCTGGACTGCAAGTTCGGTTTGAAGCGCAAGGTTAAGCTCACTAGCCGCTCCTCGGAAACCCTATACAGGGTCACTATGAGTTGGAACCGACTTGACAGCACGTAACAACAACAACGTTTAACTAACATACCCCAGTGACAGTAGTTAAACAACATGTAAGTTATGACCTAACAATCACACAGCAAGGAATATAGTCTAAAGAAGTGGGAATAAAAAATAAAGATTTACGTACAATATACGCTGATATAATGGAATGCGATATAACTCCTATTTAAGGCAGATATACAAGGATTATGTCAAAAAGTACTGCCATAAAATCAAACAAACCTTTATTAAGTAAAAGCATCAAAATATGAAGCTACTGTTTCTTCACATATCCTTCATATAGATCTGTACACTTCTGAAGGTGAGCTTTTCTATCTATACCACATCCAAACGGCAGTTTCCATATTATTGAGGGACTCATGCCATATTCCTTTTAAATGTTCTTTGAGTTTGGAAACAAGTAGAAGGGTAAGACCAGAGCTGTAGGGTGGAGAATTTCATTGGAATAATACTTTCCAATGAAATTTTCACAGGACAACAGACCTTGCTATCCCTGAAAACTGAGTAGATACACTGTCATTATGGAAAACAATTCCTCAGAGCAGCTTTCTTGGCCTTTTTCTCACCAATGCAGTTCTCAATTTTCTTAAAACATTATTGATAAATCTACAACCCACGCCAGATTACAATGCATCCCATTACATTGTCTTCATTAGCTTTGATCTTGCTTGAAAGACTAATGGAGTGAGAGACCAGGTCTTTGAGCCAGCTGATCTTTGCACAACACTTTGGCACCTATCATGCCAAGAATGTGCTAAGGCCAAGATGCTCACTTAAAAAATGCCAAGCCATGTTGAGGACCCAACTTCAGTAGCTATTATATCAATGGTATGATATGATCCTTTCCCCCCAGCTTCTGGAATCCTTGTGTGGTGCTGTAGGGGGAATACTGTACTGCGAACCACACGGTTGGCAGTTCAAACCCATCAGTTGCTCCTCTGAAACCAAACACAGGTTCACTATGAGTCAGAACTGACTCGACAGCACTTAACAACAACTGGACTTCAGACACAGTTTCTTCCCTGGTCAAAGGTTAATGATAACCTCGTCTCATCTTTGAGGCCTTCCTTAAAATGCTTGATTCATCTAAAAATTGTTGTTTTGTGTAGAGCAGCAATCCCATAAACTTGCTGAAAAGCTCCAATGATTTGGGAAGATGACCACATGAGTTTTATTAAACATTTGGCATTAGCTGTAACCTCAAAATTACTTCCCTCCACCATGGCACAAAAAGTATCCTGTTCTTAGTAGGCATCCTAACAAGACTAAGACAAGCGTATTACTGAGAAAACTTATCTGCGGTCATCCATTGATTAGAGACATATTTAAATGCATTTTGCTTGGAATAAACCTGTACACGTATAAGCTGAAAACCTAGTAGCAATACTTTCTGGCTTACCCTTGTATATTATCTTAGGCAATCATGATATGTTAGTAAGTAAAAAAAGCAAGTACACAACAGTACTAATAATCATTACAAAAAACCAAATATAATCTGGCAATGTTTATGTATTTAAGTAGCTATGAAAAAGCTTTGAAAAAATGCACCTGAGATTGACATGTGATAAAAATCTGGCACTTAAACTTTTTGAAGTAAATACTTTTTAAGGCAGAAGGAAGAATACAAAATGGCAACCATACTAATATCAGAGAAATCTTTCCTTTAAAAGGAAAAACAAATCATTCTTAATTAAAAGTCAACAAATTTCTTGTAATGGCCACATTAATAATTTTATTGTATAATACCAAAATAAGGACTTAATAATTTAGTATTCTTAACGAAAATGCATCTTAAGAAATTTGGGTAGTACCATCCCAGAGTAAGTTATTCATGGAAGCAAATGGCACCCACTGCTGGCAGGTCACTGCTACCAACTTTGCTGTTACGGGATGAGAGTGTTAAAACACATGCAGATCAACAACCCAAGGAAGTGAAAGTTTTAGAGTTATTCCCTGAAAATCTCTATCCAAAATTGCTTCATACTTCCCCTTATAGCAGGATCATGCATAAAAATGTGGTCATTAAGAAGAGATATTGTATCAGGGTGAAAGTGTGTGGGTGTGTACAGAAATAAAATGTCGTCAATATTTTCCCTAAATAAAAAATCTGGGCAAAAATAATTTGACAAGGAGTCATCTTCTACCGCATGAATGGTCTGAATATTAAAATGACCAATTTCTGTAAGAAAATAAAAAAATTTCACTATTAATTAAAAAATTGATGGAACAGGCATGACAAAATTGTGTTATCTTTAAGATTAGGAATGGGTTTATTAGGGAACTTTGAACTATTTTATTCAAAATATGCTGGAGAGACTGCTATTTAAAAATGCCTGTAAGAGACTTCCAGAGAAGCAACGACACCACAGATGGGGCAGAGATGGGGACATGGAGAGAGGGAGCAGTTGAGGACTCTAGATTTATGGGAAGAGAGGGACTAATAGCTCGCGGGCAGGAGGCAGACTTGTAGAATGCTCCCTTTGCTTGTGTAAATTAACATATATTCTGAATGTTTGTTTTTTTTTTTTTTAAAAAAAGCTACAGTGAACAGAGAAACACTGGTAACTGATGGTACATGGAGGGAACTATAATCATTGTAATGAAAAAGGTATATGATTTGTTGAATCTAAAACTGATGATCTGCCCTGTAAACTTTTACTCACTCAATCCACAATAAAAACCTTAAAAAAAAAAAAAAAAATCATATACCCAATAAAGCTGTCCTTCAAATATGACAGTGAAATTAGGTCATTTCCTGATAAACAGAAATTAAAGGAATTGTAATGATCAGAACTTTACAAAAGGTACTAAAGGGTACTGTATGGACTGAAAACCAACAACAGATGACAACAGCCTGAAATTACCATACATGACAACATCACCTAGATCTCAATCCAAATATAGAAATATTTAAAGTAAACACACCTACAAGACTGAAAATAGGCAACCAGAGATATCAATTTATAATGAAGTCAATAAGAAGCAAAAAGAAGGACTAGTGTGTAGATACAGGACTGTCAAATGGCGAGGAAGTCAAGTATATTTCAAGATAAAACAAACTTTTAAATTGGGAAAAAATTTAATAAATTATAGGATAACCTCAAAGAACATTAATACACCTACTTATCAAAATTAAAAAAAGAAAAGGAAAACCAGAAAAATTTAGTAAACATTAACACAACAGAAATGAAGAAAATGAAAAGAAAACTCACAAACAAAATGAACTCAGTGCAGAAAATGATGTGGAATAAAGAAAAGCAGCTAAAACAACAGAAAAAAACCCACATCAAAACAATCAACTCATACCTTTAATTACACTGAATGTAAATAGATTAAATGTACCAGTCAACAGACAGAGAGAGCAGAATGGATAAAAAAGAAAACAAAACAGGATCCTGTCTACAAGAGACACATCATAAAGATAGAGACAGCCTAAATGCCCACCAACAGAAGAATGAGTAACAAACTCTGGTATATACACAATGGAATAGTATACAATGTTGAAGAAGAACAATGAATCTGCAAAGTACCTCACAACAGGGATGAACCTGGAAGACATTATGCTGAGTGAAATTAGTCCATCACAAAAAGTCAAATATTGTATGAGACCAATGTTATAAAAAGTTAAGAAAAGGTTTTGTTAATGAAATAAACTATTAGTGATATTTACGTGGGAAGAGGGAAGGGAAAATTATTCACTGGCTGGAGAGTTACATGGGTAACAGGGCATGCAATATACAAGAGAGAAGTTAGTAGCGGGAAAGATGAAGGTAGTGGAAGACACAGGGAAGAATGCAATAAAGTGGTGGTGGTGGTGGTGGTTATGTGCCGTGGAGTCACTCTGTCTGTACAGGGTTTCCAAGGCTGTAAATCTTTACAGAAGCAGAAAACCTCATCTTTCTCCCGCGGAATAGCTGGTAGTTTCAAACTGCTGACCTTGAGGTTTGCAGCCCGATTCGTAACCACTACGCTACCTGAGCTCCTTAACAGTTAAAGTAAATAGAGGTAAATACTGTTAACTTGGGTACATGGAGGGGATTGCAATCATTGCAATGAAGCAAAATATTTGATTTTCTGAATGTAAAGCTGATGATCTGCTCAGTAAACCTTCACTCAATTCACAATAAAAAGCTAAAAAACAAAAAAGCTTTATACAAAAAAAAAAAAAAGAGAGAGACTTCCAGCAAGATGGTGGACTAGGCAGATGAACTATACAAGGACCTTCTACAACAAAGATTTGAGAGACCAGATGAAAATCCTGGAACCCTGAATTTCAGAGGAAAGGTCTTATAAG